TGAGGTCTAGCAGCGCGGTTAGCCGTGGCCACCATCTTCTCCCCGTGGCGCTTTCGGTCCTTGTTCTACTTGTCATGGCGTCGTTGGGATGAGGTGGGATCATCGTCGTTGTTGCCACCACTGAGGTTGTTGGCGGCCTTGGCTTTCCCACTGAAGCTGGCCTAGACTGCCTCCTCGCTGGTGGCGTACTGGGTGGCGACATCTAGGAGCTCTCGCGTCATGCGCGGGGTCTCATGGCTGAGTGCATGGACGAGCATCTCACTGGTCATGCCGTAGATGAAGGCATTGATCACGTCGGCATTGGTGATGTTGGGGAGCTCATTGCGCTTCTTGGAGAAGGGCGAAATATACTCCTGGAGGGTCTCATCGGCCCTCTGCCTGCAGTTGCGGAGGTCCCAGGAGTTCCCTAGGCGGGTGTAGGTACACTGGAATTGGTCGATGAAGACAGAACATAGATCGCCCCAGCAGCGAATGCTGCCGGGCTCGAGCTGCTCGAGCCAAGCTTTAGTCAAGCTTGATAGGAGTAGGGGAAGGTACTGGACGGTGAAGTCATCATCTGACCCAACGGCCTTCATGGCTAGGAGGTAGTCCTCCAGCTAATGGTCTGGGTAGGTCTCACCATCATACTTGGTGATGGGCATCGGTGGGCGAAATCGGCTAGGGTAGGGAGCTGCCCAAATCGCTGCCCCGAACGCCAGGGGGCCAAAGTGATCCGAGGCGGTGCCCCCACCTCGCTGCTCAGGGGTGAGGGACTGCGCTTGAGCATGGCATCTGGCCTCGATGGTGTCACGGACGTCGCCGATATGGTGGTGCATAGGGGGACGCTGAGGAGAAAGGTCATGCCTACGCTCCTATCAAGGCTTGGTGCCCCGAGCACGTAGCCAGTTGGAGTTGTTGCCAGAGGTGTCACCGCTGTTTCCTCCCATTGATGGGGCGTGAGCATTGGAGCGGTCCCCATTGGTGGTGGCCATCATATGGGATGACCAGGAGAGCGCGACGTAGCGATGGGAGGCCAAACTCTCGGCCTGCTGCTCGAGGGCACACGGAGGAGCCGCTTCACCTTGTTCACCGCTCATTGGTCTTTGGGTCCATGTGTCAGAGATGTCTTCCAGGCGGCAGGCGGCAGGTGGCGGCGGCCATGTTGCACGCCGTGTGAGGGAAGCAGAGGCTGCTGGGAGCCCCCGTGCGAGCATCATCGTCATCACTAAGAGGGCGCATAGCTTGTTTCTACGCAAAGTCCTGCCTTTGGCGCTCGAGCTCTGCCTCGATGGCCTCCAAGTCCACCTACCGAGCTCGCAAGCGGTCTAGCCTTCTCCTGAAGGTAGGCCACGTGGTTGTGGGGACTCTAGTCTAGCGGCATGAGCTCGGGTGCCTCCTCAGGAGGATCCTCACCGTTGATGTGGTAGCACATGCACGGTGGGGCATTGTAGTCGATGTCGTCGAGTCATACTCCGGTCCATCCCCGAAAGGATCTCGAGGAAGGTGCGGAGCGAGGGGACGTCACCCCACCACGTCGGAGAGGATGGCGCTCCGATGGAGCCTCATGACTGATAAGGTGCTCCATCTCCAACTAGAAGGATGCCGCCGCATTCTGTATCCCAAAAGGCAAGTCTAGGAGGTAGTACCATAAGCGATCAAGAGACGGGAGCACCTCACTAGTGGTGATCTGGTGGTGGACGTTGGCTAGCATGTAAAACATCTAGCGATGGTCCAACACGGTGGGGTTTGGGCCAAGACCGCGCCGAATCTAGTGGGCCAGGACCTCGAGATCTGCTCCCTGAAGATCTGGTAGAGGGGGCAACACCGGGGCTTGTTGCCCACCGGTGGTCTCATGGAGTGGACAAAGCTTGCCGTAGCAGTCGGCGACATAGGCCAGGCTCCCAAAGTTGAGGACCTGGCCCAGTGCGAAGGCACCGGCCATGACGAAGAACTCTTCGGGGAAGCGGACACCACCGTCTGAGGCGGTGCCGCTTGCTCCGATGACGAGGTGGATGGCTCCAGGCACCATAGAGCCATAATCGCACTTGACGCTGCCCCCTACCTGGCGCGCCAGCTGTCGCGGGGTCAAAACCACGGCAAGCATAGTTGTTCGAGTCGGTGCCAGAGTACGGGTCTTCGGTGGCTCGGGTGGACTCAAAAACACAAGAATCACGAAGAGAAGACACAATGGTTTATCCTGGTTTAGGCAAGTTCGGTCCCTATGTCCTGCAGCCGATGATCCTTATACTCAAGAGCACCCAAAATCAGGGGTTACAACAGAGTGTAGAGAGAGATTTGGTAGGAGGTTAGTTCGGTGGTAATCCTAAGGTTGCCTCACCACCGGTTGAGCCTTCCCCTCATTAGAGAGGAGGAAGACGACGGGATGTAGAGGAGGAGCTCTCGGTGCCCCTTGTGCGGAGTGGAGGCGGATGGAATGGAATGGAGTGTCTGGTGATCGATTTGGGATCCTCTCCCTCCTAGGTCCGACCTTATCCCTTATATAACGAGATAGGTTGGGTACATGGCGGTTTGGGTTACTAGTCTACGGTCTATGTGCGCCGGAGTCTAGGAGGGTCTTGCAACGGTGCCCGTGGACCATTGTGGTGCCTTGGTGCGAAGAAGCCTTGGGTGTCGTCCGGCTGCTCTGTTCTAACACTCTGTGTGTCAGGCTGTGTTGGCTTGGACTGGCCTCTCCTAGGCGGACCTTCTAGAGTCTTCTTGGTGATGAAAGAGGTCGGCTCTAGGGGCTTATGTGCGGGACCAGAGCTCCCGAGCCCCCGGGAGGCCGAGGGAAAACTTTATCTTCTTGTGTCATGCCCCTGGACGTGACCCTATCGAGGGAGCAGTTGGCAGGGACATGCCTGGGGAGCGGTGCCAGGGAGCCCCGAGCATCGATAGCCCGGAGCTTGTCCTCTTGTGCCCGAGCCTTGGCTGGCATCATTAGCCGAGCAGGAGCCAAGGGCCAGGCCTGGATGCACCATAGATCGGGTGCCTAGGGCTTGGGCAAGCCCCCGAGCCCCAAGCATCGGTCGTGTCTAAGTCAGGTTTGGCTGGGTCTCTTTGCCAGAGGGTGTGCGCGATCGTGCCCAATGGGCATAGCCCTCGAGTGATCTTGAAGGGGTCGGTCGGGGGTTCTTCTTCGGTCGGGAACCATTGGACCCGAGGCTTAACATACTCATATGTTAGGATCTCATCACCGCCCCTCCATCCGACCTTTAGGTTTTGGTGTTTGACGCCAAAGGGGGAGAGGGGAGAGAGTATGTGACATAGGGGAGAGAGCTGTGAGATGAGATTTGATATATTTTGTGTGCTACCCCTTTTACATCATGTTCATGTTTCATGCATTGTATGATACATGTGTTCGTAGTCCGTGACATGTGTGCTCTCTACTTTTATATTATGTCATGTCATCTTGCTGCTCGTTTGCTTGTACTTCAATTATATTTTATGTCAAATGAGCCCTCTTTGTTGTACTCGCGCTTATTTCTTATCTTTTGAGTACATTTTGTGGATTTGGCTTGCATGAACTCATTCTAACCCCTTTGCTCTTATTGTCACGTGTTCAGGCAAACCAAGTGTTGAAAACCTCAAATCCTTTCTTTATGCACATATTCGTGGTTGTGTCATCATCAATCACCAAAATGGGGGAGATTAAAAGCAACTAGACCCCTAATTTAGTTTTGGTGATTAATGACAACATAATCATTGTGACTAACGTGTTGTAGTGGCATTACTTTAGGTCACATTGATAATGGTTGATGGGCAATTATGGTTTTCATGCCCCTAATTGATGGTATTCGTTTTGGTTTCAAAGGATGAACACGAAGATTAAGGATTGACTATGTTGATGGAGTCGAGGGACACTTAGAATAGTGATAGGATCTTTTTTTTCTTTGTCCATACTATATAGGGGTGGTATGAACGGGTAGCTTGGCATAATCGAGTCTAGTGAGTGGATGTGGTGTGCACACATGTGAAAATTAGCGCTAGCTAGCTCAGATGAAGCCCAGGGATAGTTGGAAACAAAACCAAACACTAAAGGCATTCAAATTGGATGTGTTTGGTGGGTTTCTGCTGGCACCAGATGTGTCGAGTTGTGCACCGGACCTGCAATAGCGCGCCTTTTTCATATGGCAAACAGGGCCCGACACAGTGGTGTTGGGTGCGCACCAAACGTGCCGCACCGGACAACTCAACCAAAGATTGTGCTTGGTTGGGTCCTGTGCCAAAGCACTCACCGGACGTGTCCGTGGTGCACAGGACATGCCCACTGCACCAACATGCCCACTGCACCATTCTACCAGAGAGGTCTGCATTTGGTGTCTTGGCGGCTTAGAATCCACCAGATGTGTCCGGTGCACCGCACGGTGGCACGGGTGCACCAAATGCGTCCGTACAGTAATATCTTTGCCCTAGTCTCTTCCAACCTCCATGTTGTTCTTAATTGCTTGATGCGACGATCAAAGATGACGCTCTAGGCTTGCTGGCTGACCTAGGGTAACCCGTCGATGTCCTTGCCCCGACGGGTCCCCTCTCAGACAAGAGCTTCGATAGTTCATTTGCTAGTTTGCGGGAAAACTAGCCGTTCTTTGTCACTGAAGCACGATTAGTTACCCTTTGATTGTTTGCTCGTAAACCTTTACGTTCTTCACCACATAAGTGTGATCCTTACTATGTTCTTTGGTCTGTGGTGACCCAGATGACCTAGCCATAGCTGTTGTGTGACCGATCTTTGCGTCGACACGTTGCTCGGATAGTGAAACTAAAAGGACGCTGATAAAAAGAGAAACAATTGCTCGGACAGTGAAACTAAAAGGACGCTGATAAGAAGAGAAACAGGTCAGTATACTAGAAAGACGAGACAGAGGGAAGACATATATAATTACTAGAGCAAAGTAGAAAACTAAAATGAAAACAAACCGCCGGCCGGTTAATCCCGGTATGGAGTATATGACATTAAAAATTTGAAAACCTCTAGCTACGAGGATTGCAAACTTGGTAATGTACATCAATCTACAAGACTACAAGTACGATGCCGCGTCCACGACCTCGTTCCGGGCACCTGCCGCCGCCGGCATGAGCGCGAGCACCAGCAGCACCGCCAGCATCGCGACCGGCACGAGCAGCACCGCCAACGGCGGCGGCGGGAGCGGCGGCAGGACGAGCGGGAGCACCAGCAGCAGCACGGTGATGAGGGCGAGCAGGAGGCACGACTCCACGGAGAAGTACTTGGCGCAGAAGCCCCTCGGCGTGCTTGGATCATCGTGATTGTGCCAGCCGCCGTGAGCAGTCGGCCTCCCGACCGGCGGCAGCGATGTCTGCGACGACGGCATTCACCTGTGCCCGCGCCGCTCCAAGGGCGACAATGGCGGTGGTTTGCCCTGGTCAGCCCTCACCTGTCGGTTCGTCCTGCGCCCTCCGGAACGCTGCTTTCAAGCTCAAGAGAAGAGATGGCCAACGTGAGCTAGGAGTAGGTTCATTTTCTTGTCTTACCTATTTATCACAAAAAAAAAAAACTTGTCTTACCTTAGTTTGTGTGTGGGCAGTGAGAATGACTGAATGAGTAAACTAGAGAGTAGTTAGCGCAGCACGAAGCAGAGCTGTTCGTTCTACTACACGTTTTTTTGCAAAACCATGCGCAAGATGCGGATAACAACTTGTTCATCATGCATGCTCGTTCCTCATATCATGGCGACCTACTTCGAATTTGTAGCGCATTATTAAGTTTTAAGCCTCTTTTAGTACAAAATTTTAATTATATATTTTTTCTCGACACTAAATTGCAAGAAATAATATTTTTTACTCGTCAAAAGAAATGGCGCCACAAAGCACCATTTTCACACAGTTGCGAATGGACATGTAGAAACTACTAATGCATGCATAAGGCAAAGTTAATATTAGTCACACTAATACATGTAATGCGATGCAGTAAATTTGGTAAACTAAAAGGATCAGTGTAACAAAAGGATTATTTTTTTCCTTTGTAAACTTATCCCTAGGTGCACCTCCTAGAGAGTAGAGACCGATGAGCCGATAAATCTTGAGAGTAACAAATTCAACACAAACATCATGTCATTAACGAGCATATCACACCTACATTTCTTCTAAAATAAATCTTAAAAAATATAAATACCCATGCCAAATCAAGGAATTGAACTTGAATAATGAGCAATTCCTTCGTAATTGTGCGTGCCCATTGCTACGTCATAACGCATCTAGCTATATGGGTGCCTGGAACTGCTTGCCTTCTCCTCCATACTGTACTAACGTATGCCATCTTAATAATCGCTGGGGTAGCAGTTAATACTCACTCTAGTAGCCCCCTTAAAAAATACTTACTCTAGTCACAGATTAAGTGACATTTTGTGTTGTCTTGAGCCAACTATTTCAAGTTTCAGATACATGTTACTTTTTTATAAGTTGATTCAGATATTTGAAAATGGTAGGAGTATGTTTGAATATAATCGAAATATATATCCTAACAAAAATGTATATGTTAATTTGCTATGTTCTTCAACAAATCAAGGTTAAATTTTGGAGGCAGTGTCGATGTTCTTAGTTTATCTTTTTCATCAGAGTGAGTAATAATTTTGAAGGAAAAATCCAAAAGTGAGATAGTGATAATTTGAAGGAAAAAAATCCAAAAGTGATGATTGAGGCCTTCTAAAATTTTATATATAGCATTGTACAGTAAGGATGGCTACAAGTTTTTCCTATGTCGTATGTACATATGAAAACTGTTAAACACGCTTTGTTGCATGTAGTGGCGGATGTAGAACAGGATTGAAGAGGGCTGGTCTCTTTTTCTTTCTCTCTCTTCATTTTTCTTCTTTCCTTCACCTCTTCTTCTCCCTCACTCTCCCCATATTTCCATTGATGCACCAGTTGTAGGAGGGGCTAGAGCCCCCCAGCCCCCTTTTAGATCCGCCCCTGGTTGCATGTCTAGTACTAAAATCCACTCTCTCTATATATCTTTTTTTAGGAATATATCTTTGGCAAGCGAATAGAAATACTTGGAGATCTAGTTATTGACAAAGCCGTTGGAGAGATTTTTTATTTCTGAAAGGATATAAAAAGGCTCCTAGGTTTTGCTCTAAATGTGGGATTGGATCGTACTATTCTGGTTCATATGATACTAGTCATCAATAGAGATCCGTAGCAACAACGCTGTATTATTTAATGGAATTTGGTCAATGTTGTCATAAATTTGGCGATGTGCATTGTAGGGGATGTGTGAATAGATATATGTATGCAATGAGATGTCGCAATAATAATAATCTAATAATCTTGTTTACGAAAGTTTTTTCAACCTGATGAATAGTACTTTGGTTTGGTGGACCTCGTGATCCCAAAAGAATCTCGTGATTTCTAACTAAACTATGTAATTAGTTTTTTTTTACCTATATTTAATACTCCATGCAAGCGGCTAAAAATTGATGTAATAAAGAGAGAGTGAAAAAACTTGGAATTTTGAAGGAAACTAAACAAGGCCAAAGTAAAAAGCATGTCAAGGAATGCTGGATAGCAGGTGAGGGTGGCCGGCTGCTGGCACTGATTCGCAGGTGGTGGTGGTTAAATTTGCAGAAGTAGGTGGTGTTTAAACAGGGCTAAAATTTAAGCTTGTCACGTCAGGATGTGAGGGTTTTGATAGTAATAATAAAATAAATTATAGAATTTCTCAAGGTACTCTGCGAGACAAATTTATTAAGACTAATTAATCCGTCAGTGGCACATGTTTACTGTAGCACCACATTATTAAATCATGGGCTAATTAGGCTTTTAAAAATTCATCTTGCAAATTAGTCACAATCTGTGCAATTAATTATTTTTTAATCTATATTTAATATGCTATGCATGTGTCAAACATCCAATAGGATAAGGACTAAATTTTAGAGGGGAAACTAAACAAGACCTAAACATCGTTTATTCGTCCGTCCAACGTGTACAGGTGTATTGAAAATTAAAAGGAGTTTATGCAAGCAAAATTTGCAATAACGGTTAAGCTACTTATTAAATGAAGAGCACCTTTGGATGTATAGATATGACCGCGCGTGGAGACCCCACTACTAACTAGGGTTGAAATCATGATCCACATGCCATAAGAGCAAGGATAACACAGCCAGTTGCTAGTTGTAAAGATTTTTGCAGACTACCTCTCAGCTCACCCGTAAAGTAGTTAGCTCTTTAACATTAATATACGACCCATTAGTCTCTCTCTACAGAGTTTCTCGATTTTTTATCTAAATCTGCTGTAAGCTTATAACCCGCTTCTCCTCTCTCTCTTCTTCTCTCTCCTCCACCTCGGCGTTTAGCCTGCTAAGCAGTAGTTTTAGTGTTGTACGTACTACTGTGTAGTAGTAATAGCAGGAAGCTAAGCTGCTGCGTGCTTCAGCCGTTTCACATGCATGCATCTGAATATCTGATGATGATGTGCGATGTCAGTTGCGGGCAGCAGGACCACACCAGAAAAGAAGAGAGCGAAAGCGAAGAAAGTAGCTAGGTTAACGGTGGATCGAAGGACGACCGACCGTGTGCAAAAGCAAAGCATGCATGAATACCTCAGTCACCTGCCGATGCCGGTGAGGCGAAGCCGAGGAGAAGCGCATCTTTATCCAGCTGACAGCAAGTCGATCGTGTGTCACGCAATACGTTACCCGACGACGACGATACGATGATCATCCTGCCCTGTCGGTTGGTCGGTCAGCAAGTCATCTTCTTCGGATTCGGACGTCGGAGCGAATGAGAGAGGGAGCGCGCGGCGGCTACGAAGCGATGTATGAGCAGGACTGCAGGAAGGAGATGCGAGAGACCGGCCGGCCGGTCGCCCGGTGGTGAGGAGGAGGAAGATATGATGAGGAAGAGGCCAGAGCACCCAGGTACACTGCATCCAGGCAGCAGCCCAGCAGATAAATACAACTGCTATAGAGTAGACATACACACCCGGTCATCGTAGTCTCCCACGCAAACTAAAGGGCTTACGTGGTGACGGCGATAAGTGAATTTTATATGCCAACATCTTTGGGAAAAATGAGGGCAACCATGCATGCACTCAGGTGGTTCCTCTCCCCTGGCCATGCCCCTTTCTGAATTATTCCTGTTACTTGCCACGCCTGCACTTCCACGCAGTCACCCTCTTTGCTAGGATTAGGAGTAATCTGCCACACTTATCTCCTTATAATATTACTTACTGGAGTACTATATATGATGATGAAATATCCCTGCTTGCTCTGTACCTGTACTCCAGAAAAATTCTAGTTTCACCCTTTCCAGCTCGAATGACGCCATGCAAACGGTCCTATTATATACTATATACGTAAATGTAAAGTAAACTGTTTTGCCAAGAATCAATTTGCAAAAATCTTTTTAATAAAGCGTGGAAGCACAAAATCCACCATGCACTCCCATGGCGGTCCCACGTACAACGAACACGTAGTGCCAGTGCTGGCTCGGCCATCCATTTGTTTACCTGGCACCTTTGTCGCCTTGTGTCCCAGTTCATGCATGTCGCGCCTTGATATGCTGTCCTCTTGTTGCTGCTAATTATTGACGTTAATTAAGCTTTTTATACTCCGTTGCTCTTGTCGGGGCCTACAGTACGGCGGGGGAATTTCGTGGCCGCGCGCGTGCAGCGTGCTTGATTTCTCCGCTGGACTGGATCTGACCTTGTCTCTTGACCAGCGACGACGAGGAAGTGAGAGTGGCATGCATGCGTTTTTTTCCCCCTTTCTTTCTCGCCCTGCACGGCAATCTGCAGTACCAAAAAAGCCAAAAGGTGTTGCCTCAAGATGGTAGAGTACGTACCCTATAAAGTTGGGCTTAGCCTTCCGGCCAAGCCAAGTACAGTGCACTGAATTAAGTGTTTCACATTGTTTTTCTCAAAATATGCGTACAAGTCCCATGCATAATTTATTTAATGACGATTATTGGCTCCCACCAGAGAAAAAATGCAAAAAGATTCAATATTAATTTGGAAAAAAGTGGTATAGGTCTCCCTTTGATCAATGTCAGCCTGACTAATAATACTCCCGTCTACCACAGTCCGTCTATCTTTTACACAAGTCGCGATTAACAATTTGGACAAAATCAGAAGGAAGGACCTTTTTTGAAAGGATGGTGGCACTAAATGGAGTAAGTGGCCATCTTGTGAAATGGAACAAAATAATATGCTAGAGTAAAAAAATTGGGCTGGGTATCAAGGATCTTACAAAGTTAAACATAAGTGTATTATGTAAGTGGTTGGTTGCGCTGGTCCCAAGCTTCTATATATTTCCCTTACGCTGTCAATAGAAACGGAATTGCCTCTTCTTAAAAAAAAGGTAAACATAAGAATGAGAGAAAAGAACAAGGTTTCTAAATAGCCATACATATAGTACGCCTTAGAACTTGTTTGGATCCATTAACACTTTAAATTAGCAACTAAAATTAGTACCGGTGGGTCCAAACAAACCTGCTAATTATTAGCAAGGGTTACTAACTATTAATTCTATTAGCAGGTTTAGAATTGCTAATAGGTGCTTAAAGTGTAAATGTACCTTTAACTCACTATCCAACCATCTATTATACATGAATTCAAATGGTTTCTAGTAAAAAAAAAATAGCTAGCTAAAAAACAATAGCTATTAGCTAGCTAATTTTTTGTGCTGATGGATTCAACAGGTCAAAGCTAAACATCATCATCATGATTAGGGAGGAATCTCATCCGGGCTACATATATACAAAAGATCAAAGAGAGCATCATTCAGTGGATTTCGAGGAGGATCGACACGTGCCAGCTACTACTGATCTATATACACTACCACCATTACTAAAAGAGGATGTCAAGCACTCAAGCGCCCGTGTCGTGGTGTACTTCGATTTGCCAAAACATTCATGTGTTGGAGTGTGCTTAAACACCCAATGCAATGCAAATGCCAATTTAGGTTTTGTCTAACTCAACTAGAGCTTATAGAAAAAAAAAACATTACCTGGTTCAAATATCCAAGTTTATAGTTCATTAGGGGTGAATCTAGGGTAATTTGCTCGGTCTATTGATCCTGACCAAATTTGTAAATCCCTTATATTGATACACTTCTACAACTCCCAAGTCTACGTTATGACCATGGTTCGTCTCACAACCTTATACCCAACCATCCAAAGCACTATCTTATTAACAGTAATGAGCCATCAACAACAGGGACGAAGCTACAAATGTACCTATGGGAAAATGCTCAGCACGCTGCTGCTCAACGCAATATTTCTAATATACTTTTGATAGATCTTTATCATTCTTCACCTTCAGACGCTCTCATTATTACCAAACAGAATGATGTCCCGAATTGATTCGACTTTAGTGGACTTCTCTCATAGAGAAACAAGATGGCAAGCCAGTTGTCCTATAGCTGTGTTGGTTGGAGCATATGCAAGAACTCTAGGTTTCTTAGCCATCGTCAGAAGGAAATTATTGGATTACTGAAACTGTCTTAGTGTTACCAGTGTCGGGTAGGCCTCAAACTAGTCGTACGAACTAGAAGGGTGTTCAGATGCTGAAATATAGCTTGATACTATATTACCCTGGGATGAATTAAGTCCAAAGTGAACAGTGGCAGACTCAAAAATACTTGCTTTATTTTCTCCATCAGACTGCAGCATATATTAAAAAATGCTATCAGTGCACAATAAAAGAAAGCAAAACAATAGAGAGAAACAGAGAGATGCCAATACTTACGCCGTTATTACTTTTAGTCAATATGAAATTGATTATTCCAGATCTATCTTTGGCACCACTCACCATCTCTTGCCAACTACATTGATCAGTACTCAGATTAGCGGCGATTCTGGTAGCAAGGCATCCATCCACAATATATAACAATCCTCAAATTCACACACATCCTGATCATTGACCCGCGTAACCACACTAGGATGTGCAAAAAGAAATTGTCCTTGAGGATTTCATCTAGACTCTAATTTCATTGCTCATAATAACATGAGATGCCCTTTTGGTAGAGAGAGCTTGACACGGTATTCATTTGGCCAGCTTTGTTTGAGTGCATGGGGCGAAGCTACATATGTACCTGCGGTGTATATGCCCCCTCAAAATACATATTTAGTGATAAAGTCTAAAAAAATCATATTTGCACTCTCTACGGTCGAAGTCTATGCACTCACAAGAAAGTTGCACCCTCTTTAATTTACTCTAGCTTCGCCGCTCTTTACCAACACAAGCATACATCAATATTTGGTTTTGAACAAAAATTGATGTGACACATAGGTACAAGATCGCGAAACCACTATTCTTCCAACCAAAGCTGCACGTTTCTTTTACTCAATAGAGCCTCATTTTCTCTCACCGCCTCAGCAGTAGCTTTCACTGCTCTATTTCTCCTCCCCCGTATATTATTTTTCCTCCCAAAGCGATTGTAGCCTCTGCAAGATACTGTCACACATGCGAGATGTATGAATTTAGAACGCCATGGCATCTGAACCTAGTTGGTAAGCGGGGGCTACAAGATGACTTGGTGCGTTTTGCCTGGCCTAATGCAACAATTCGATCTCATAGAGCTGCACCCTAACCCTCCTTACTCAGCACATTCCCCATGTTCACACAGCGGTAAACGCTTCACTTGGGACGGGTCATTTTCAGTTGCATCTTCCCATAAATGGTAAAGTAATAAATATATACCATGTTGAATAAAGAAATTTAGAACATTAAAAACTACTGGTCCATTTTATCTGGCGCACACGTATATCAAGATTCAAACTTTAAAAACTTTGACCAATAATTAGGCTAATAATTTTTAACTATTATAATACAAACTTTATATGATTAAATTTATAAGGAATTATACTATCCAATGATTATAAGTTTATAAGCATAAATAATATAATATAAAACAAATGAATGGTTAAAGTGTAATCTAAGAGACCGTGTCATTCTAACTTGCGCTAGATAAAATTGACTGGAGGAAGTACTTCCTCTATCCCATAAAAAGAGTATTCTCACTTTTCTAAGAAGTCAACTATCTTTAACTTTGACCAAATATATATAGTAAAATATTAATATTTATGGTATATAATTAGTATTATTGGATAGATTTTTGAATATATTTTCATAATAAACTTATTTTGGAGATTCAAATGTTGCTAATATTTTTTACAAATCTAATCAAAATTAAGATAGTTTCACTAGCACGAATCCCATAGCAACTCCTTTTATGGGACGGAGAGAGTAGTAAACTAATAAATTCATGCCTCTTGAGTAACACTAAAGAAAGAAATTGAGCACACTGAAAACAAGGAAACTAGTAAATTCATGCACGACTTCATTCACCGTCCTCTATTTTGTCCCTAATTAAATTGTTTTAGATCTTGTTTGGCTGCACATGTGTCCACTTCAATTTACATATACTTTGATTGATTAGAATGAAAAAATAACTAATTCTCACACCAATCCACTCCAACACACTTGATAATTAATTAATTCTCACATCAATCCACTCTAACACACATGGATTTAGATTGATACGAAATTACGAATGCAGCTAAACATATGCTCATCAATCCACTCCAACACACGTGGATTTAGATTGATACGAAATTACGAATGCAGCTAAACAAGGCCTATGTGAGACTCCGCCTCCAAGTTATGCCCCATCCAAACATATACATCAAGCACTGGCTCCATCTCAAGTTTGTCCCAGAGACCATAGGGCCACATTTCTGCATGCATAAGCCACAAACCCTTCTGGGCGAAAACACAAGACGGGCTTTGAAACGGGCTAAAAACACTGTTCTGGCTGAATCTTGACTGAAACTAGTTAAAAAAACAATGTTCTGATTGAATTATTGTGAGAGAAAAATACTGTTCTGGCTGGGGAAAAAAAAGTCGATTTCTGGGTAAGCCGCACAGGGCCAGTATCCATGGAGCATAGTGCAGAGGCCAGCAAATACCTCCCACTGGATTAGTCTGAGGTGGACCGCTGTTTAATGACGGAGAAAAGGAGGCAGAATGCCAATGTTACCTGTTTTGAATTCTGTAACAAATGAATGTACAGACTTCAGGTTAAGGTTCATAACAGGGCTAGCATCACACTAAACAAACAAAGCATTTTAAATGGTAAAAGAGCTATACAAGAGGGGGGGGGGGAGGAAAAGAGTTTTGTCCATAATTAAGCTCAGGACCAGAACTGTCCTCCTAAGGGGCACATCTGAGCCCATCCGGATCCACAAACATCATCAATGAAACTTTGGTACATGAACAGCTCGAGTGCACATGCTTCCAGCTGTTACTTTCTAGTCGTCTAGCTCAATAAGCTGAGCTCTTCTCTCAGCTGCCTTCTTCCTGACAAAGATGCCCCACCGCATAGCAGCCTTGATCTTGAGCCACCCGACAACAGCTTTCCCAGGTGCGCGGGTGCGGCCATCCTCATAGCTCAAGTTTGGTGAAGGTGCAGGCATGTATGAAGGGAAATTGAAGCCATCTTCAGTTAGGTTGGTTCCTGCACCACCCATGCTCAGAAGCCGCAACATTTGTTGCATTTCTTCGTTTTCCAGAATCTCATGGCTCCTCATCCTGATCTCCTCCATCAGGTAGTCATCAACACCGCCACGGTTCTCCTGTTGCTGCGGCCATTCTTCAAAAGGATTCAGGCCTGTTGGCTGCATGGACTGGCCAAGTGCTGGGAATTCAAAACTTTGATGTTGCTGCAGAGGGCCCAATGCTAGCATATTAGACCCTCTTGAAGCTTGACTCTGAAGGGATGAACCACTAAACTGGCTTTCAGGCGACACTGCACTCCTGTCATATTGCATGGTGATGTTTGCAGGAATGTTCTGAGTGTTGACTGCATATCTTGCTGACTGGTTTCCATTTCCATTGTATGCATTTCTAGTTCCATCTGCTGAACAGAAGTAATTCAGTGATGTCAGTACAGCACACGCATGGTAAATTAATTAAATTCACGACTCATGCAAACTGCACATCCATATCCCATAATCATAAGAAGTATCATTTTCTATACGCATGGAATTAATTAAATTCGCGAATCATGCAAACTGCACATCCATATCCATATCCATAATCATAAGCAGTATCATTTTCTATACACAGCCAACAATTGTTGACTAATAAGTATTTAAAATGTCATAAAGCAATAGCAACAGTATGAGGCAGCATTAGCGCAATTCCTGCCAGAGTTACTAATGCCCTAATTCCAGTGTTGAGGACAACTGAACAAGCCTACTTGACTGATCCTTGTTAGTATAATCTGGCATACGCAGAAGCATAACCATATGCTATCAGAACAGACTGCAGTGACAAAAAATTGACAACAAGTAAATCAATTGGATTGTGTACACAAAGAATATAAACCATCAGAAAATTTCGTTGTCATTTTTGCACACTACTGTTGGGTCAGCAAGGATGAGCAAATGGGCTTAGACTGAAATCATTGGGCTTGTCATGACAAATGATAAAAGGGCACTGGGCAATACTGTATAGTGCCACCACAAAGACTAACAAGTTGGAAAAATCCCATCCAATGTGTCAGGTGGCCACCAGCAATAGCTTGTACTATTTTATTTCAATTTATGCTCTTTGCAATAGTACCATGCAAATTCTCCTTAAAAACTCATGGCCACTAGAGCATGGCTAAAACAAAAAGGTGGACATAAAAACTCTATAGGATAAATCAGGATGTCACCTTCATTCATAGTACCCGCCGAGGAAGTTTGTCCAGCTTTTGCTGGAAGGGACAATTGTTTCTGTGAATTGGCCGAACCATATGAAGCAGGATTGCTTGTTGAGGCAGCTGCAGCATCGCTTCTTGTCGTGACAGATTTCTTTTTCTGCTTGAAGCTCAAGAGTGCCTTACCATCATATTCTACAACTTGCATCCAGTCCTCATATGCTTTCTTTACCAATGCATCAGCATAGACCTGCAGTTTAAGATGAGCACAAATACAAATATGTCAGTAGACCACTCTTGGATAGAGGATTTGGGTTCAAACCCTTCGGATTTAGCTAATAGATCCTAGAAACTTCCAAAGCAATCCCCTCTCATCCAAACACAGTGATGATATTAAACATACCGCAACTTCAAAAGTTGTTCTTCAAAAAAGAATGTTGATTATTTGCTTACTGAAATGCTCTACTGGTTACATTAGCAGAATATCAAAAACTGACAACACTATACAATTTGTAAAGGTTTTTGACTTAAGGCATTGTAGTTGGCCAAGTCGCAAAGGGCACTAACCTTCTGATTGTCTGTGAGATTTTCAGCTGAAATGAACTGATCATCGGCAATCAAACCAGTGAACTCATAGATGTTATTGAATATGGCACCCACGTTTCTTGAGTCTCTAGCATAGTATACATAATGCTTTCCACTTAAGACACACGTCTTTGCATGCTCAACAAGGCTGTCCCACATCTTATTTGACATTCCACTGCCCAGAATCTACAAAAAGAACCAAGGGATGTCAAATCATATAGGAAATACCATAAATCACAATATAGTAAGAAATAACAGGTATCATAGAACTTACGCTACGTAATCTCTGCTGATCCCTAACAAGAAGCCGGAGGAAATCTTCAACTGTATAGATCCCACTAGCATTTAACTTCTTGTGGAATGCACCATCCTTGCCAATCTTTTCTAATCTCCAAACATCATCCTTCAGCGCGGGTGGGTAGTGCTTTTTGTACACTAATAAATATAAAATCAGCATGCTTGGCAACTGATGAAAATTCTAAAAATACAGTTATTTTTTGTATCATCTAGTGAGTAAATCAACAATGTGTAACACATACATTCTCCTCTGTGGTCCTTAACAGGGAAAGCTTCTGTCTTGGCTTCTCGGACACGAATACCTTCACAAAAGCCAGGAGCAATCCTCAGCCCAAGTCTGAATTTCCTGCTTCTTATCCAGCTGGAGTTGTCAGTGAAGGTAAGCTCTCCTATGGTTCCAACACCTTCTTTAAGAGTCACTTGCAGGTCACCTGTCAAAAGAGGCCTCTTCCCTTCACGCTCCTTGACAATATTACTTTCAAACTCTTCTTCTGTCCAATCCTCATCTTCCTCTTTATTAAAGTCGCCCTCAAGCACAAGGATATCCAGTTTTGCAAACGACTCAGGTCCTGAAGTAACAACACATCCAGTGTTTGCATCCAACAGCACGACATGTATAGCTGCTCCCTGCTCACCTTCAACTTTTCCACCAGTGAAGATTGGAAGAGCCAACTGACTTCTGAACTGGAGCTGAAGATTTCTTCCATCGGGGCCTTCAATTCTTTTGGGGGAGGATCTGTTTTCATTGATATTAGTTTCATATCCCAAGAGCCTTTAATGTGGTAATATCACAATAGCAATAATAAATCTCAATTTCCAAGACAGAATATCTCCCAAGCGTCACCATGAAGAGTAAGTTGATTTTTTTTACCTTCCTTGAATTCTAGCAGGACCCAGTTTGGCTAAAGCACGCTCTACTTCTTCACTTACCTAGGACCAGAAATAGAATGGATCAAATATGTCAGTAAGGATATGTATACAGAATTTTTACATATAAACTAAAAATAAGACCAACAGAAATTTGACTCACAACTCTTCGGAGAATGGGCTCGAGCGACGAACAGAGCTTCTGCAAACTGTCCATCTTGAGAGCTTCCACAATGACACTGAAAAATGTTTTGTTAGCTAAGCAACAATCATATTTGTAGTTTGAAGGGTGGTAGATCAAAAACTGTAACTTATCAGTAAACTCTACCAAAATTACTTTTATGTACTAATATATTAGCTAACCGGCTAACCCTAACTGTGGAACCCGATTCAGTTCCCACACTAATATAGGCCTGCTTGGCAGAGCTCCAGCACTAGGACCTCTTTATCCCCAAGAAAATTGGGGCATGCTAGAGATGAAACCCAACACCAGGCACCAAAATAAACAAAGAAAGAAACACATAACAGGGTAAAAGAAGAAGAAGAAAAAAGAGGTATTAGTAAGAGTAAAAAAGTAGTATTGATAATAATAATAATAATAATAATAATAAGAGTGGAGTGATAACCTAGGTCGTGGTTTTGGCACGAATTGACAATCTATAACTCAATAAACAAACTATTGATTTTTGAGTCGGGAGAATTGTATCAAAAACAGCATGGCACAACCAGCATGCTAGCCAGGAAAATTGAAGTTATCAACTGTCTGCATGGTCAAATGCAAAAAATATGCTAATATTGAACTTCAGTTCTAAATAAGCACTGTATTATCATCCACTTTCTACAGCATGACGCCTTTACCATCTTTGCTCTAAGGGATTTGGTGCTCTGACTGAGCTGGAGAGCACCCAACAGCCAAACGAGCAAACACTCAGAACTACCAAAAAATCATCCCTTTCGCATGGACCAGAGTGTATTTTAGGTTCATAATTATCCGCTTAAGGCACTTCATTTTTCTAGCAATTCGTACCTCATATCAGAACAAAAGGTAGTTTCCACATGTGTTATCCTCACCAAACCAAACTCCAGGTGGAGCTCTCAGTCTGACAGTTAATCAAATCGACAAAAAGACTCATAGGCAAACTTCCTGTTCCAGCACTCATTTGTACCGAACTACTGATACTAAGCTTAACAACAGCAGCAGCACTAGCATAGTAATCACTGTACTTCCGCCAGTCATCTCAATCAATCAAATCAAACCAAAGCAAGGGTTTCAAATTTCTTCCCGTCTCAAACCGGCAACAACCTAAGGCATGGAACCTAAACATTAACCAATGACAAAACTCTAGGTAGCAGAATCAAAGCATTAGCACACGCGCACCTAGCGAGGGCAGGGACGCGCGGGCGCTTGGGCGCATGGTCGTCGTCATCGCCGCCACCGGTGGGGTCCAGCCCGCGCTTGGACCCCGACCGCTGAAGTCGTCCCGGGCGCTGCATCGCGCCGGAACCCTAACCCTAGCCTCCCCCTCGGCTCCCAGTGCCCTCCTCCAGCCTTCCGCTGCGCGCCCGTCAGATCTGCGCCAGGTGGAAAAAAAAAATCCCCAAAATAAGCACCAGGAGTGCAGGGACGCAAGCCGAAGCGAAGCGGAGCGGCGCGGTACCGAATCGGCGCCGCCGGCGAGGAGGAGAACAGTCTCCGGCGGAATCGCGAGGCCGAGCTGCGGCGAGAGATCTGCGCTCTGGACCTCTGGGGAGGAGTGTGGTGGAGCGGGGGGGAGGGCGAGCGCTGTTCTGCGTGGGTGCTGTGCTTGCTGTGCTCCCTCTCGCGAGCCTCCGCCTAGGGGTTTGTTTACGGCCTCAAATGGGTTTGTTTACTTGCCGTGCTTCGCCTACCCAGCCGAAAGCCACTCCGGCAAGGTTCTCGCTCGCTGACTCTCCGGGCCCACGAGATCGGAGGTCCGGCCGTGACGGACAATGATAAGCGGGTCCTGGAAGCAGCGGGTCCCTGTGTCAGTGCGCGGGGGGAATAGTGCGGGTTGACGACCTGGTGGGGTGCATGCCGACGGCGGCGGCTACGGGTAAAGATGGCCGGACCAGATGATAGGATATTTCGTGCCATATTGGGGCGTTGCGGACTGCCGCTCATTACTGGAAACTCACTGACTGGTGGGTCATGTTGCTCTGGGGCCCATTCGTCGGTGAGGATCGGGCAGCATAAGGTGACATCGATGAGCACCAATCAGTGGCGTCCCACCAATCAGTGGGGTGGGTTTTCAGTTCGTGGTTGGTGAAAAAACACATAAACACTGTACCTAGTCAAAGATGTACGGATCTTATGTGGCCTTGGGATCCCGATCCTGTCACTCTGTGGCCACTCGTACTGGGACAGTGGGACTGGGAGGTGTGGGAGCCTGGGGGCCTGCCGGCCTGGTATTTCTGGCCAATACGCCGTCAGCGGCACAGTGCAAAGTGGAAAGTGAGGTCCACTAGTATGCTTGGACACAAATTGAACCCGGCAAAAAAGTTTTCCTACTCCTCCATTTGGTAGGACAGCTTTGTGTCAAATTCAGTCAATTATCCCGATTGATATCTATACGCTCCTTCTAAAAAAGGACTTGTAGTACGTAACTAGAAAATAAAAGTGACTTAGATACCCCTCAAAAGTACTAGTAGACAATGATAAATAGTGCTAAAAATGCACCAATCCAATATCATATAACGCTACATTGTCTTTTTTTATAAAATTTGAATGTTTTAATATTTTTCTTTATAGGACTGAGAGACTACATCACTTCACTGATATGATAACTCCGTTACAATTGATTAGAAAAGTTACGGGCATACCTTACGATGTGTGTCCTGATTTGTGCGTGAACGTTCGCCATCTTCTCTGCTGCAGGCAAAGAAGAGATTTAGAAAACAAGATGATCATGAATGCAAATGAGTGTGGTGTCGTTGTGTCACAAAGTGATTGACAATAACTAGGAACAGATCTAGAGAAAAATAGAGAGAGTGGCTTATGCTTTCTTCAAATCTCCCAAGCCCCACCTCCCAACCTTAAAAAATTAGGAGCTTAAGGAGGGGGCTCTATGGTTGCAGAGGTAGTAGCAAGCTTGAGCCAGACCCATCCCATCACTAGATCTGCTCCTAGAAATCACAAGAAACACTATGAAGAACATGAGAAAAAACAGGGAGAAAATGCACCCACTGGAGATGGCGGATCTAGCATCAGTAAGTTGTGAAATTATATATGCTTGAAGGGAGATGAAGTAGCAGAGAAGGGTGAGTGGTATCGCTGCCACCTATAGCGAAGATAATCGAAGGGATGTGACCATGGATGCAGGCAACAAGGCTATGAGGTGTGCAACAGATCTGAGAGGAATGAGGCAATGAATAAGAAGGGGCGGCGACTGGGTGAGGCATGAGAAATCGAGGATGGGTGGTGTTGACGGTAGTTAACAACCATTATAAACCTTCAATAAAATATATACAAGGGCACAATTGAGATCACCAACAAATGTCTAGGGATTTAAACTAATAAATTCCATAAGTTTTGGTAAATCTGTGTTTCCAGCAGGGTTTAATCAGAAAACCGCCAAGAAGGACCTAATCATCAAAGAAAAATACGGAGTTCCGCCACGGTACCTACGTGGGAAGACTCTAGAACACTCCTGAAGCCACATCACCGAAGCAGAGAGCAAGAGGATGACATGTGGGGCCGCCCGGCCCCACTGTCAGGCCGCCCGACACCCCATGGGCCCACCTGTCAGCCAGCTTTGTATGTTGGTCTCCCACCGCCTTTGAGGATGCATCTAGACCATTGCTTAAGTTGGTTTGATCCAAGGGCTCACATTGGACCCCCAGGGCTATATAATCCAGCCCCTACCTCTCCCCCCAGGCATAATCCTAGTCATCAAGTCATTTGAGAAGACAACAACCCTAATCATCCTCAGAGCTCCATCATATTCTAGGACATAGCTAGTTAGGCTAGGTCTAGAGGGAGACAAGCAGGCTTCGCTTGGATTCCCAATCGTGTCAAGAGCGTGGTTCGGTATAATCTTTATACCCCCTCTCTTTTGTATCTCCATTATTTTTATATGCTTGCTACAATTATTATGACAATATTAGTATTTATCTTATTCATATTCTTCGTTATAATGTTCATCGTCTACTTTGATTATATGCTTAGTATAGTTGGATTATCATCATATTCATGCATAAGTTCATATAGCGCTCACTTAAAAGTACCATGGGTGGGTGGTCGACATTGTATAAGTGTGGTGCTTATATATTGTTTACCTATGAATACACCCTATATTCTGGGTCATGTGGTAGATCGCGGACGTGACACTTCTGTTGAGTCCTTTGTAGTCCACTCCCCGATGTAGGTAGCACGTAGGATTTGGTAACAAAGGGGGACAAGCTATGTTCTTAATCTCCCTTGGTAATATCCCTTATGTGTAGATGTGAAGATGATCTTAGCCATGATTACTAGGTGTAATTGCACTAATCAATGTATGCTTTGACTTATAATTAAGAATGACTTATGAATTATTCCTCTAATATTCTACCTGACCATACTATTGCCATAGAAATCCTATGACTTACCCATGTTATGAGTAGAATATTGGTTATGGTTTACTTCTCCATCAATAGTATAAGTTATCAATACTTGTTCATGCTAGACCTTTTCTGTGGTAAAAATATAAATAACGATACATGGAATACTCTCAGGTGAAGTGCTACAATGGTATATTATCTGTACGCTTATAGATCATTTTTCATTCATATCTATATACTCTTTCTAGTCACATAAGATAATAAAGAACTACTTAGTATCATTCTAGTAGTGATGCTAGGCAGCACCAACAAGCATTCTTGGCACCATCACTAGGGATGATAACCTAGTAAAGTAATGTTATGATATGTAGGTAATTAATAGGTGGCTATTAAAACAAGTGACAAGTTAATAAATACCAACAAGCATTTCTGGCGTCATTGCTGGGAAAGGTAGCTAGATAAAGGAAGTATTGATAAACTTATGTTTATTGATGTGATCGAGATAAACAACTAACCTCTGCTCAAACAGACTTACCCTTGTTTTGTCTACTTATGTATCTTATGCAGGGTAATGTATGACCGGTTTTGACCTTCCGACAAACTACGTTGACAATCCAGAAGCACTAATTAAAAGGACTAAGGCTAAACTCAAAAAGTTTTAGCTTTAGAGTCGAAAGACAACCATATAAGGCGAAGCTTAACACCTGAATTTGAAGCTATGGCTAACAGGACTCTCCGCGAATTTTCTGCTCCAACCACTACCAACATCCATACTGGACCTAATGTCAATGTTGGAGACAATGGATTCGAGCTCAAGCCGGCTCTCATCAATATGGTGCAAGCGAGCCAATTTTGTGGAAAGGCACATGAAGATGCGAGTGCACATCTCCAACACTTTTTGGAGATCTGCAGCACTTTCACCATCAAGGGAGTAACCAAGGACGCCATACTACTTTGCCTCTTCCCATTCTCACTTTTGGGGAAGGCAAAGCAGTGGTTCTACGCTAACAAAGATAGAAATACTACATGGGATAACTATTCCACTACCTTCATAGCAAAGTTCTTTCCCATAGGCAAGACCAATGCTCTGCGTGGGAGAATTTCAAGTTTTCAGCAATAACATGATGAATCTGTCCCTGAGGCATGGGAATGCTTTTAAGACTATATATATCAGAATGTCCTCATCATGGGATGGAGAATTGGCTACTCATGTAGACGTTTTACCATGGGTTGACCAACAGTACCCGTGAGACCATGGATGCTGCTGCTGAAGGTGCATTCTTGTCACTTACACTTCCAGCTGCGACCACTATTGTGGAGAAGATGGCCTCCAACCAAGGCTAGAATGAAGAACGTGTTCAGACCCACAAGAGAGGTGGAGGTACGTATCAACTCAAGGAGGTAGACATGCTATCTGCCAAGATAGACCTACTATTGAAGAGCTCGAAGACCGAGCTAATGAAAAGCAAGAAGTCATGCACATTCATGATTCCCATGATATGTGAAGAGTGTGGAAACACTAGGCATTCAGGGAATAGCTGTCCTAAAACCCAAGAGGATGTGAACTTTGTCAACAACTACTATCGTCCCCAACAGAATCAAGGATGGAACCAGCAACAGAGGCCAAACTACCAAGGTAATCCTCAAGATAATAATTATAATAACTTCAATCAACCACCCTTGAGAGAATTAATTGCTGACCAATCTAGACTTATAAAAGAATCATCTAAGAAGGTAGCTACCAATGATAAAATTTAGAAAACATAAATAATAGAATGGATAGCTTTGCTTCTGTCATTAAGAACTAGCTGAAGGGTCGAGATGGCGACTAGAGGGGGGGTGAATAGTCATTTTTAAAACTTAATCGCGTCGGCTAACCGAAACAAGTGCGGAATTAAAACTATCGGTCTAGCCAAGACTACACCCCTCTATCTATG